TGGAACAGCATTTCAAATGAAGAATGCAACAGCCTGGTGAAGTCAATGGGTCGCAGGCTCGATGCAGTTATTGCAAGTAAGGGTTACGCCACCGAATATTAAATGTTATTCACTTTAATTTATGTTAATAATGTCTGTTCCAATACTTTTGCTCACTTGAAATGTGGGTGGGTTCAAAGAAAAGGGGCTCAGTCCTGAGTTGTTTAACACACCTGGATGTCAATACCATGAAATAAAAGCTGGAATTCTGAACTTTTGTCTCATATTCATCTTTTGATCTGAAACCCAAAAGTCTTCAGTATACAACAAAAACAAAGGAATTGCCCTTGCCGTTCCAATACTTTTGGAGGGGACTGTATGTAGCAAGTGGTTCCTGACAAAGAACAGCCAGATTCCACTGGGAAGAATCTCAGCCACATGCCCATTCAGTAAATAAAAAACTGACTTCAGTCTTCGTTAGAGCACCACATGGGATGTGACCTCCCTGGTGTTTGCTGGCTGGCCGCCTGGTCAGGCTGCCACAGATGCGGAGATCAGGAAATCTCACATTACCCGGATGGCAGCGGCCAGAGACATGATGGTGCACTCCGTTCTGGAAGATACAGTGACATTTGTCAGAGGAACAAGGAAATAAGTTGGTGTAATTTATCTTGTGATAGAGTCAAGACACAGGAAAACTACAACTACAAACAGTGATCATGAAGGTGAAGCAGATACTAAACGATCCACTCACAGTGGATTATAAAGGGTTGACGACATAAACACGCTGATGTGGAGACGAGTTCATCAACAGTCACAGCTTGCAAACTTTTTTTTAACAGCTTGAAAGGATATATTTCATATTAATATTTTTGGGATGTCTGTCTTTTAGCAAACGGAAGAGAGGATATGAAGACGACGGACATGTTTCTAAAGAAGCACGCTGGGCAAAAGAGGTAAGAGCTACAGAAAAAATAATATTCTACGTATTTTATTTAATAAGCCTAACCTGTGTTTTATTCCAGGAATGGACAGACCTGACGTGAACATCTGCTTGTAACACTCACATTTTACTTTATGCAACCAGGCTTCAGCAGAAACGTGTTTGTTTTCATTTGTTTACGTCTCTACTACAATGCAAGCTCACCCTGGGTTTTCTTGTGCACCTCCACCACAGGAACAATGAACGACTCCATTATCTCCTTTACAAAAACTGTTTAATAAATGCATGCATGTCTAATACAGTCTGTACTATTTCCAAAAAACAAAACAACTTACTGCTGTAAACACTTTCATTGTACTTGGTATCTCTCATTATGTGAGTTGCCTGGCATTCAGAAGTTTCCAAAAAAAAGAATGTATTCTTAATATAAAATAACAATACTTTTGTGACACTTTGTTCCAAAACGAAAGTAGAAGTAAAACATATAGACAGAAATGATCGTCTCAGCACTTTGCACATATGCTCACAGCCTTAAAATAAATCAGTCACTAATTACAGTATAAAAAGCATCAGCTCACAATCCAGTTACCAGAATAGAGGACAGAAAGAAGAAGCTTCTTCATGTCAGTTTTTGCATAATGAGCCAGAAGGAGGGAGGTGGGGACACTTTGGCAACCTGTGCTGTTAAAACAAAGTGGGTACAAAATAATATATTTTTTTTATGAAATAGCTGTATTTGGCCCTCATGATGAAGGGAATGAAATGTACCCAAGTTTGTATCATGACCAAAGTTTATGAAGAAAAAAAAAAACACCAAACATTTTTTTTCTCTGTTTTTGTGTACTGCATCAGTTGTTGTACTCAGTCGCTGTTGTTGCATAGCTTTCTTGTGGTGAATGGGACAAGATGGCAGGTAGATGGGAATGAGCTGAGGAGGAGGATGGTGGTGGTGGTGCTGATGGAGGGGTTGCCACTGGGATGAGGGTGGCGCATGCTCTGTCTCCTCTGTGCCGCCCTCTGCTGGAGGAGACTTGACGTAGGGAAGGGAGGATGAGAGGAGTGAGGAGTGCAGTACTACCTGTTGCTGTTGGACATGGCATACTGAGCCTGCTTCTGCTGGAGGAGCTCAGTGATGGCCAGCAGCTTTTTCAACACATGCTACAGAGGGAAAAGAGGATATAAATCAGACAACTGGAACAAAACAAAAACAAACATCCTTGACCCTCCAGCGTGAGAGCATTCTCATGTTTAGTCTCTCACCTGCTGGGCTCCTCTCTCGTTGCTCAGTGTCCGGAGCTCATCTGAATGTGTTGCACAGATCTCGTGCAGTGCTGCCAGATCCCGGGACAGGTCAGTTCTAAAGTGCTCTGTGGCTTCAGGGAGGTCAGGAACATTCTGGAAAGAGAAATGTATATATGTTCTATAGCTGGGACTTATACGCAAGTTATTTTCAATAAATGATTGACAAAATTGTGCTTTAAATTAAAAAAATGCATTGATTGATTGGGTTGTTGTTTGGAAGGAACCAACAGGTTGAAACACACCCTGATTGGAGATTGAATAAGAGCATGGTCATCTCTACACTTAACGTGTTGGTAAGAGCATTATGACACGAGTGAACCCACAACTTTAATAAAGAAACACACTAGTCTAATGATAATGCAGTAAATGTGACTCACCCCTAACTCATCCAGAAACATGATCATTCTGTGTTTGTTGTTTTTGATGAAGGGGTTCACACCCTCCATGTAGGGCTCCTGCATGAGAGTTACATCACAGTGATAGGACTCACTTTAAAAGAATGATTCTTACAGTTCAAACTGTCAAACTTCCACTGCATTACATGATTTTCGAGAGAAGCTTCTTACCTTAGCACCAAATTCAACCAGGTTGGCTAGGTTTTGAACAGACTTGGCCACCAGTGTGAGGGTCCTGCCTGCTGTTGAAGAAGGAGGGTCTAAAGGAAGAGATCACTACATGAAGATCACGTCACACTGGAAACAGAGACCTGTGTTTATGTGTGTTTGACGGAGGCTTACCAGCGATGATGTTAAACATTCTGGGGTTGAGGATAGCAGGACAGATCAGTCTTAGAAAGACAAAACCACTGGAAGAGTAAAGGAAATAGAATGACAGAAATTGTTAAAATACAGGTAATCATTTAGGATAAAAGCAAAATGCGGTTTTATTCTTAGTGTAGATGTATTTTACCTGACAACTCTTGTCCTCATTGTGGTGTTTGGCCATTTCTGCTGCACGGACTTCTGCAGGCAGCCATAGATGAACCTCAGTGTCCTAAAATGGGAATAAATAATGGGTCAAACTTTGTGTTTCCAACATCAGTTCTTTAAGTGACGTTTTTGTACAAACAGAGCAGGTACACTATATACTGACGGAGGTAAAATCTCAGCAGCCATGAAAATCTTCTCCACCAGCTCTGACAGGATGTGGAGGAGATTGGCCAAGTTCAGGTTCACATCCTCATTCTTTTCCAGTTTGGAAGGGTTCAGCTGGAGAAAGGATTGGTGAAGGAAGTGGGCAGGATCCATGAGAAAAATACAAAAAAAATTAGATATTTATTATTTTTTTTATTTAATATATGATTACCCAAGTGGTTCCCATTTCCCCCTTTTTTAGATAAAACAACTGTCAAAATTACAAATCAGTACAAATACAGAAAATATTGAAATTGAGGATCCCGCCCCCACATTGTTAATCACTGTACATTAATGTAATTGCACCGTACAAACCAGTGTTGATTATACAGCTTTGTATTTTTTTTTTTACCTCACAGGATTGTTTGCTCTCCATGATCTTGATAATGGTTTCTTTGAGTGCATGATTGACGAAGGGTGTAGCAGTGGCCTTCATGTATTGCTCCATTAAGGTGCTAGCCAGTGTGGTTGCTCGAAATAGGGTGGTGGCCTCATCTAGAATCAGTGGACAGGAAAATGAGCAGATACAATATACAGGGAGTGCAGAATTATTAGGCAAGTTGTATTTTTGAGGATTAATTTTATTATTGAATAACAACCATGTTCTTCTGCCTAATAATTCTGCACTCCCTGTACAAGCACAAGACCATAAATATTGTGGGGCTGCAGGTTGTAGTTTTTTTTCTTCACCTTCCATGTTGATCTCTTTATCATTGAGTGTCCTGAGTAAAGGAGCTTCAGCCTTCTCATGTCTGAAGATCCTCAGAAGGAGACTTGCCAGTAAGGTGCGGTCCTGACCACACACGTGGGCCAGAGCATAGATGACATAGAACTCTTTCTGCAGGATCATCTGCAACCAGACACACAATCAGCATCACATTATTATCTGAACAAGACCAGCAGAGAAACAGATAACTTAGACTGCAACCACAACCACGTTATTAGGAATCAAACCTCTTTGAACTCGCTGTACTCCTCTTCGGGCATGATCTTCTCCATGGAGTAGCGAGCCCTTACTCTCAAAGAGCCCGGCTCGATGCCCTTCAGAGGAACGTGGGAGCTGAGAGGAAACCACTCATCAATCAACTGGCCCTTTTGCAGACGGTTCAGCTGGCATCGCATGAACACTGGTAGGGAGAGAGTGGGATGTGGAATAAGACAGCAAAAAAGGAAGGAGAGATGTCAGATTTTTCTGCAGGCAGGATTGGGTCTGTTTTTGTAAATATAATTTATAGTTAGTTACCAAAGTGTGTTAAACCAAAGTGTGGTGAACCATAAACTGTTATCTAAGTGTGTTAAATAATGGTCTGCTTGACAGGAGTAGGTTGTCCTAGAAAGGTTTTTTATGATGTAGGTCCATAAAGGATGAGGTCTGTTTCTCATCAAGTATGGGAATCGGATGAACTTTGCCCTAAGAGTAAAACGTAAAGAAAAAACAACTGCCCAGTACTTGTGAAACTTTCTCAATAAAAGGAGCTGCAGTCCTCATACACTAGGTGAGCCAGCTCTGCGAAGCTGTTGGTCTCTCTGCTCCCCCTCGCAGCGAGTAAAAAGTACAACGTTGTCAGGTGTGGTTCTTTTCTGGTCATTCTATCTGCGGCAGTTAGATGACAATAGTGGTGACTGAATAACGTAATTTTCGGCACCAACAGTTTTTTTTCTTTTATATGACAACAAATACATTCTGAATGCTGCAAACTATAATTGTTAAGATGATGACGCTTTTTAATCTGATATTAGAAGGTTTTTTTAAAAATATATATGGTTTGGTATGATCTCCTAATGCTAACTGTTGCTAAGTAGAAAAAGCTAAAGAGTTGGAAAAATTACTCACAAATGTCACTCTCTTTGCTCTTTTTGGTTTTGTTACTGAGGCTGATTTCAAATCTGTTGATTTCACTTGACAGGTCACTGAAACAACAAATGATAACAGTCTGTTATTCAACAAAAAAAGAAAAATGCTAATAATTATGCACACCTGATATAGGGTGTTGATGTCATTAGACCACACCCCTTCTCATTACAGAGATGCACATCACCTGATATGCTTAATTGGTAGTGGGCTTTCGAGCCTATACAGCTTGGAGTAAGACAACGTGCATAAAGAAGATGATGTGGTCAAAATACTCATTTGCCTAATAATTCTGCACTCCCTGTACAAGCACAAGACCATAAATATTGTGGGGCTGCAGGTTGTAGTTTTTTTTCTTCACCTTCCATGTTGATCTCTTTATCATTGAGTGTCCTGAGTAAAGGAGCTTCAGCCTTCTCATGTCTGAAGATCCTCAGAAGGAGACTTGCCAGTAAGGTGCGGTCCTGACCACACACGTGGGCCAGAGCATAGATGACATAGAACTCTTTCTGCAGGATCATCTGCAACCAGACACACAATCAGCATCACATTATTATCTGAACAAGACCAGCAGAGAAACAGATAACTTAGACTGCAACCACAACCACGTTATTAGGAATCAAACCTCTTTGAACTCGCTGTACTCCTCTTCGGGCATGATCTTCTCCATGGAGTAGCGAGCCCTTACTCTCAAAGAGCCCGGCTCGATGCCCTTCAGAGGAACGTGGGAGCTGAGAGGAAACCACTCATCAATCAACTGGCCCTTTTGCAGACGGTTCAGCTGGCATCGCATGAACACTGGTAGGGAGAGAGTGGGATGTGGAATAAGACAGCAAAAAAGGAAGGAGAGATGTCAGATTTTTCTGCAGGCAGGATTGGGTCTGTTTTTGTAAATATAATTTATAGTTAGTTACCAAAGTGTGTTAAACCAAAGTGTGGTGAACCATAAACTGTTATCTAAGTGTGTTAAATAATGGTCTGCTTGACAGGAGTAGGTTGTCCTAGAAAGGTTTTTTATGATGTAGGTCCATAAAGGATGAGGTCTGTTTCTCATCAAGTATGGGAATCGGATGAACTTTGCCCTAAGAGTAAAACGTAAAGAAAAAACAACTGCCCAGTACTTGTGAAACTTTCTCAATAAAAGGAGCTGCAGTCCTCATACACGAGGTGAGCCAGCTCTGCGAAGCTGTTGGTCTCTCTGCTCCCCCTCGCAGCGAGTAAAAAGTACAACGTTGTCAGGTGTGGTTCTTTTCTGGTCATTCTATCTGCGGCAGTTAGATGACAATAGTGGTGACTGAATAACGTAATTTTCGGCACCAACAGTTTTTTTTCTTTTATATGACAACAAATACATTCTGAATGCTGCAAACTATAATTGTTAAGATGATGACGCTTTTTAATCTGATATTAGAAGGTTTTTTTAAAAATATATATGGTTTGGTATGATCTCCTAATGCTAACTGTTGCTAAGTAGAAAAAGCTAAAGAGTTGGAAAAATTACTCACAAATGTCACTCTCTTTGCTCTTTTTGGTTTTGTTACTGAGGCTGATTTCAAATCTGTTGATTTCACTTGACAGGTCACTGAAACAACAAATGATAACAGTCTGTTATTCAACAAAAAAAGAAAAATGGAGAAAAAAGTTTATATGAGTTTATAATGAAAGAGGAAAATAAAAAAGAAATATGCTTTAGACTCACTCGAAGATGAACTCCTCGGTGAAGACAGGTTTCTGTCCCTCCCTCGGATGCGTCTTTGCCACCTGGACACTGTTCAGGTAGATGTTGCAGTAAGGGTTGGTGAAATACTTCACTGGCAGCTTGTGAGCCTCCTCAACATATAACACTAGGCTGCTGACCTGGAGAAAAACAATCATAGGTAAAGCACACAATTTCAAAAAACGTCTCTTCCTCTTTAATAAAATGTCTCTTGTCAATTTATCGTTAGACGTCAAAAACGTCTATGGGAATTATGTTATTATTCTGTGACAATTCTGACATATCATGCTTGTACGTGTCATATTTGGAAAGCACTACTGACAAGTACAGAGCATTCCGGTGTAGGTGCAATGGGTCGAGTGCTGCTTAGGGGCACTCGGTGTTATCAACCAGTCTCATTAAAGTTATCTTTAATTATTATTTTAACCTACTAATATAGCAATAATGTATTACTTGAAGTATTACAAATATACTAAAATCAATAGTATCCAATAACAATTAAATATCTGAAGGATTTTGAGAGTTCTTGGCAAATTGGGTGGCTTCAATGAATAAAGTAACAACACAGACAAACACAGTTTACAAAAATAATCAAATTTATTTATACAACACTGTCAAGTTAATGACGGTGATTGAACTCATAAACAATGATCATTATAACAAAACAAGGCGTGTGTAGGTGTGTGTGTCTGTGTGTGTGTACTTATGTGCGTGTGTACACGAGTGGTCGTGTACGAGAGAGAGATGTTGCCTCTTAGCCACCAAGCAAGCGACTGAGCCCTTGAGGCGTGTTCACATACGCGACTGCGCAGTGGAAGAAGAACTGCGAGGTAGAAGGAACGGCAACAGGAAACACGTGAGGCGTGTATGCGCTCACGGAGGTGTGAATGGGTGTTGTGTACGCGCACCAAGATGCGCTCAGGTACAATGAAACAGTGCTTGTGATGTTATCAAAGTATATGGGGGAAGGGAGGCGTACCGCGTGGTCTACTCCAGACAAAGGACTTTGTCGGAGTTTTCCTGATCCCAATACTGATAACGTTCCAAGTTAACACTGAAATACTGACGGTGTACAAGAGTATAACACCGAGTCAGGAGGTTAGAAAAGAAGTGCATGCAACAGCCTAGCTATAAAAGCAGCACAGATTTCAGACAACAAAATTCAATATGCGTACTTAAACTGTCCCTAAGTTTAAATAGCACTTAACAATACTACAGATTAACTAACGTGCCCAAATGCCAGCCTTACTGTAGTGAACGTCTGCTCGTATTTAGAGGGTAGTGGAAAGTCCGTGCTTCTTGGGTCCTTGCCAGAGCTGGGGACGTCCGTCTGGTTCCACTGTGTCCAGAGAGTCCTCTTGGTTCCGAAAGTCCGTTTCAGGAGGAAAAGTCTCTGACTGTCGATGTGCCGGTTCACACGAATACCGTTAGAAGGAATCCTGTCGCTTCTAACTTTTCAATAACTGCTTTGGTCGCAGCGCTACGTTACTTGTGTAACTTAATTACCGGTTAACTCAGTTAAGAAAAAGACGCTACTAGTGCATTTATCACCGTGGGCAATGGTGTCTACAAAAGCGCGTTGGTTCTTAGTCTTCTGAGACGAGCAGGTTTTCTCTTTTCATCGAGGTCCTACGGAGCGAAAGTCCTGAACAGAGAGAACGATATTGGGCTGACCCCCCAATTTAAAGGTTGCGGAGGTTACTGATCGTGACGTATGTGGATTTACCGGAAGCAGTGGAATTATGGGAGTTTGAGTCCTTGAAAGGACTGTTGTAGTACCTACATATCCCCCCTTTGGTCTTAGGGATATGACAGAGTCGTAACCCTGAGAGCACAAGGTTGTACAGTCCATATTCCATAATCCATTGTCATCCATATTGTCCATTTAGTCCTGTAAAATCTCAGAAGAAGTTGAGTCCTGACAAACAGTTCAAGGCATGGGCATTTGGGCAAATACCAGGCTGTAGGCATTTGGGCAAATACCATGCTATACACATGTGGGTACATGATAACTCACTACCTGACTAACACGTTCATGTACCACAATTTAAAAATACCCATTAACTTCATTTCTTCACATTGGAAAAGAAAAGGAATGAAGGAAAGGAAAGAAGTGTTAGTTGTCAGGGGTTAGACCAAATTATCGTTCACCCCCCTTTTGGAGTGAGGACTGCTAAAGGGTAAAGTTTGTTTTAATTGGTGTGTTCATTCGTTTTTAAGAGGGGTCTGGTCTCTATTAAACCTGTCAATAATTTCAGCTAACTGAGCCTTTACAGACTCCAATTCTGAGTGGAGCTCACTCAGTTCGTCTGAGTTACAGAAACGAACATGCCTACCCCTATGCTTCGGATCACGCTCAGACTGTTTCCACCATCTCTTGTTTGACTGTTGGTAACCGTCTCGTTTCCAACCACCTTGGTCTTTACGACCTCTTTCACGGGGTCGGTTGTTGTAATTATTGTTGTTGCTGAAGTTTTGACCATGGTTGTTCCTGTATCTATTTTGTCTCCTTCCCCACTCACTTTGGTGATGGGGTTTTGGAGCAGGGTTTCTCCAGGTGTGTCTCCCTGGTGGAGCTTCACTCCCTTCTAAGTCTAACAGGGAATTTCCTGCATCCTGGAGACTAAAGACTCTGGGTTCGTCGTCAAGTCTGTCCATTGGTCTGACGACTGTCTCCCAGGTCATCTGGGCTAGCTGCCTAATTTCCCTCATGGAGTAGTAACCCTGTCTGCATGTCACTGTGACATGGTTGCGTACACTTGAGTGGAGGTTGTGTAAGAAGAGGGATTTGAAACCTCTATCTTCCTCCAAGCCTGGTGCACTGCTACCCTGGAAATATGCGTTGCGTAGCCGTCTATAATATTCACGTGGGGATTCTGACCGTTTCTGCTCGATTTGCATAGCACACAACATTGCAGACGTCTCGTCAGTGTATTGCTCGTACTCTTCCTTCAAGTACTTACGAAGTCTCGTGTAGCTATCACGGACTTCTGGGGTTAGTGTCTCTATGAAAGCCCGAACATTGCTGCTAGACGTCTTCCAGATTAGCCTAAGCTTTTCCCGTGTTGTGGCGTTTGGCAGATCTACAAGGCATCGGTCAACTTCCCGTAGGTAATCATTAACATTAATGTTTTTATTATCTGGATCAAAACGTTCAATGTCCTGCGCTAGCAGATCAATTTGACGTATACGAGGTTCACGGGTTGCCTTTCTACGTGACCTCCTTGATCTTTCTGAATATTCACTGTCTGAACTATTTACTGATTGTTCATGGCGCTCTCTATGTCTATGGTCCAGTTCATCCGCTGATGAATCAGGGATGTCATAATACACCGGCTTGGGTGTGCCAAGGGATTTGGCTCTGGACGAGTGCGGTATGGCTCCAGCCTGGCTATCTGATGGAGTCGTTTTGTAGCGGTCTAGGATGATTTGGTGGGCTGTCTGGTTATGCCCAAGATGATTTTCAGTATCTTCATCGGAATAGTCTTCCTGTTTTGAATTTTCCTCTGGTAGCGAGAGAGAGTGGGCATGTGTTGCTTTGGCTCGTTCTTGGTCATTGCAACACTTTTGGAGGATTTGCTCTTCAGCAACCCTCTTGTCAGCCTTTCCAGCTCTCTGTAGCTTGCTGACACACTCTGTAAGGGACTGGTTAGTAAGCCTGAGTTCCCTTTTAAACTGTTGGTTAGCCTGAGCTAGCTCGTCTCGGCTGTCGCTTAACCTATCTGCCACTTCATGAAGACGTCTGATTTCTAAATCAGTGTCTCTGAAGTGGAGCAGGAATAGCTTACCTATTATTTCCTCTGCACTGGAAATGCATCTGGGGTCTCTGATCTGTTTTATAGTGGCATCTATGGTGAACCTGCATTCAGCCTGGCTCAACCTTTTAAAGTTTGCCTTGGTGGAGCTGGAGCAGTGAATTAAATCTGCGACAACATCAAAGAGAGACACGTCTTTAGCGGTGTCTTTGTGGTAAGAGGTGCGCAGAGATGCCATTTTAATTTAATTATTAACAGTAAAGTTTAATAATTTGTTAAAATAAAGAACTAATCTCCTAGATCTAATAAAATTAGGTTGTAAGTAGTAAATACTATTAACCGTCTGAACACACCTGAAAACAAACCTTGCAGTTACTAAGCAAACTGATAATTTGTCTATTGTTGAAACAAATATCCAAAGAAGCCAACAAAACCAATTTGCCTCACACGGGGCACCATTAATATGTAGGTGCAATGGGTCGAGTGCTGCTTAGGAGCACTCGGTGTTATCAACCAGTCTCAAATTAATAACACAACCAGTCTCATTAAAGTTATCTTTAATTATTATTTTAACCTACTAATATAGCAATAATGTATTACTTGAAGTATTACAAATATACTAAAATCAATAGTATCCAATAACAATTAAATATCTGAAGGATTTTGAGAGTTCTTGGCAAATTGGGTGGCTTCAATGAATAAAGTAACAACACAGACAAACACAGTTTACAAAAATAATCAAATTTATTTATACAACACTGTCAAGTTAATGACGGTGATTGAACTCATAAACAATGATCATTATAACAAAACAAGGCGTGTGTATGTGTGTGTGTGTGTGTGTGT